ATTTATAACAACCCAAAAGCGGCTTGTCAACGATGTACAACTGAGTTGGGTATGTTAAAACGTAAAATTGAAGGTCGGTTTTGCGAAAAAAAAGTAAGCGCCGGTCGATCAGTTGAACAATTTATAGCCGAATTGGATATTATATTAGAAAATCTAGATGATACATCTATTAGTAAAACAAATGGAAAACATAAACAACTACGTGAAATAATTTCATGTGATAATTTATTAGAAACAATTCAATTGAATCAATACCAAATTACTAAATGTCCTGTTATAACTGAAAAAAAGAAGAATTATGATAGACTTGTCAAACGACTGAAACATAAGCTTCGTTCGACTTGTATAGTTCTTCAAAAAAAACAGACAAATCTAAAGTTTTTCATTGGGGTAAATTACAAGATTATCACAAAAAATCCGATGAATATATGGAAAAAACTGAAGCATATGAATGTTTGCACCAAAATACTCCATTACCAAATTTAATTGAACGTACCAATAAATATTTATTAAATTTAAGATTAATTAAATGGATTACACAGAAACAATATGAACAACTTAGCATTAAACCAAACGAAGTGGAATTAGCTCATCTTTATTATTTACCAAAAGCTCATAAACCTGGCGCTCCACTCCGTCCAATTATTTCTGGTCTCAATCATCCAACTATAAAAATATCAAAGTTTCTCGATGAATTAATTCGACCACTATTTAATAAAATAACATCCAATACAACTGCTACTTCTGGAACTGAACTTATTAAACAGTTACATCAATGGTCAACATGTAATCGACGTCAAGAAACTTTATTATGTACAATGGATGTTTTAAATTTTTATACGATGATACCACAAACAGACGGGATTTTTTCAATTAAAAAAATGTTAGATCCCTTACACATAAAACAAATTAATGGTCTAAAAATTGAAACTATTATTCGTTCATGTCGATTCGTGGTACATAATAATTATTTTTCTTACAATGGTAAATATTATCATCAAGTACGTGGTGGTGCTATGGGTTCTCCGTTAACATTGACAATTGCTAATTGTTATATGTTCTTTTTTGAACAAGATATCGTGAAGCAAATCAATAATAGTGGTGGACTCTATGTGCTAGATATTGATGATATATTTATTACCATCAACTGGCCTACTCAACATCTATTTAAATAAATTGATCGATGGAATAAATTTGACTTAAATATCAAATTAAAAGCTGAAGTTAGTCATTCGATAAATTTTCTTGATTTATACACAGAAAATAAAAATGGTGAACTATTCACAAAAGTTTATCACAAACCATCTTATGAACCATATTATTTACAATTTATAGTGTTCATCCTATGCATATGAAAAAGAATATTCCATTTGCTATGTTAATTCGTACTATTATATATTGTTCAACATTCGAAGAATATTTATATGAACGTAAAAAATTAAGAATGGCTTTATTGTTAAATAAATATCCTGGTGAATTTATAGAGAAACAATTCAGTCGTGTATTTCAAAAACATAATTTGATTCAGCCATTATCGACAAAACAATTATAAAACATTACGTGAGAAAATAATTTATATAGATAAAGAAGAAAAAATTCCAATTGATTATGGTAAAACAATGTTCATTCATTTTACCTATTGTTTAAATATGAAAACGTTTCCGGAAAAATTTCATGATCTTTGGGACAAATATTTTATGGGATCTCCAATAGATGAAATAAAACCGGTCTTAGGTACTCCTAATGTCAAAAATTTACAACAATAGCTAATACGTAATAAATAATATTCATTCAATCTGATTTTGTTCAAAATTAAAATTAAAATAGATTGGTTATATATTTAACTTATTAAGATAAAAATAAAAATGTGCAACTTATTATGATGAATTATATCTGTTATAATGTAATATATTTTAATTTAATTAAAATAAATTAATTTCATTAATTTTACAAAAACCTTTAGATAGAACTATATTTGTCACAATATAATTAATTTAATCAAAATAAATTCGTTACGTTATTTTACGAAAATGTTTTTATGGAGTTTAGGTATAAACGAATTTATAAATATAAAAATTAAAATGTATGGCTTATAGTGAAAAATTATCATACAAAAAACTTTCTAAAACTTATGTAGAAACAAAATTATACAAATACAAATTAAAATGTAGCAAATAAAATTTAAAATGTATCACTTATGATGAACGTAATCAACCATCTTTCTACAAGTAAACTATGTAAAATAAGAACCTAGTTAATATTACATAAATGATTATAGTTTTTCAATGTCGTATTATTTTAATTATTCAAAGAATTGTATTATTTGTTGTTTTTTTCTTCTTTTTTTCTTTTCTCTCCTTCTTATCTTTTATTGTATTTAGTCTTGTATGTTTTATTCATTTTTACATTAGTATTTGTATTTTTCTTTTTTTTTTTATCTTGTGCGTGAACATCTAATGCAGAGCCCCGAAGAGTGTTTTAATATTTCAATAAAGAACATGAAAACGCGTTGGCAAATTAAAACCTGCATTTCTTAAAATTACTTTTTTTTCTGGCACAAGTCACAATAAATTATTATTTAAAAATTCATCTATATCTCGACAAAATAATGGGTTGCTGAAAAGCAAACATCGAGTGCAAGCAGATTGTATTTGTCTTTTCTTCAAGATAGATAGGTCAGTCTGTTTTTTGATTGATTTAATTGTTACCTCAGACAGTTTTCGACGACGTTACGTTTAACTAGCTTATTAAAATTAGAAAAAAAAGATTTTCCTTGAAAGTGTTAGAAACTCCACGGATTCACTCATCAACGTTTTCTTATATTTGAAATAAAATCAGCTTGAATTTCTCTAGTATAATTGAGTTTTAAAATTAAAAACGTATTTTTTATTATACTACTTGACGAATTCAATACGAATAAATTGAAAAACACACTACAATGAGGCTTTCAATTCAGCGCTCCGAGCATACACTAAACATTCATTAAAAATATAATATGTCAGTCTCTGCTAATAAACGGAAGAGCAGACTCTATTTCATATCTGCTAGTTGAGTAGTGACAAATTTTATGTGATCTGAAGGCATCTAATTATTTTTCCTTAATATGAGAATATATTTTGGGCATTGCTATGTCATTAAAAAAATATGTTCTAATTCCTAAGTATCTAGTTTCAATGTCTTTGACTTCTGTTCCAAAAATTCTTAAAAGAGTCATTTTAATTAATTTTTTCAACGACTTTTGATTTTTTCATTACGGTAACTTAAATCAATGACATTTAATTTGTTTAAAACTTTCCAGTAAGTAGTCAAAGATATTGGAATTTTATGCTTTAAAAATAGTAACAAATTTTCTGTTTAATGGTTTTAGATTTGTTTGCACGCTTACTCGACAAGTTTTTGTAATTAAAATAGAATATTTACCAAGCATTGGAAATTTACAGAAGGATGAAACTTAAAAATACTGCTTAAGATTAGCAGTTCTGACCTCCATTCCAAAAGGAATTTTCCTTCACTTACAGTTACTCTAATAATGATAAGGTTACGATCGTCGAGAATTTTCATTACTGGTTTACAAAAACTAGATTTTGTATGCTCCTAGGAAAACGATATGAAGTCAAGTTTAGTGGCTACGAAGACTGAGTAAGCATTCAATTGTCTTGTTAGTCCACTCATCAACGCGTTTGATATGCTTTGGAGAAGAGCAAGAAAGGATAAAGCAATGATCTTCGTGTTATAATCCGCATCGTCTTCAGATGCAATCATAAGAATTTTTCTCTCTCTATCTATAGGATTGCACATATGAACTCATGTTCTTCTTTTCTCTTATTGTTACTCATGCACCATGGACTTTTCCTTTCCTTCCATATACGTTGGAATTTTCCTTTCCGTTCTATTCTAATTTTCTTTCGCGTTGTTCTATGGATGTTTTCTTCCTTTGTTCATCGTTTATGGAATTTTTCATCAGGGATTTTCCAACGCTTGTTATCACTCTATATATTAGCGTTACTTTGTTGCGGATCAGATTGAGGTTGGATGATAATTGGGATTTAGATACACTTATACAAATAAAGTATAAGCGGGATTGAGATCTCACAGTCGTAACATGTAAGAGGGATGAAATTAATGTAATTATTTTATTTTTTTTTTTTGGGGGGGGGGGGGATCAAAGTAAAAGCATGCAAATCATACAAAAATGTTGAAATCAATGTAATGATTTTGATTTTTGTGAGCTTATCAAAGTCATGTGCTTGTTTGTGATAAAAAGTTCGAAAGTCAGTTAAATGAATTGTTTCTGATTTTTAAGTCTCTAGAGAATTGTCGCAGCAAGTGTCAGAGTCAAATAAATATTTAAGATAATTTATTGTAAATGCAGGATGCGATTTTGTGGGCTGCAATTTGTGAATGACGTTGGTCGAATGGCCAATGAATGCCCAGGTATATTCTAGCAAAGTAGGTCTCCATTTCTGCTTGCTTAAACGATTGGTAGTATCGTGTTATTGCTGGTCGTACTGTGCCTGTAATTGAATCATTTGTTTTTCCATTGTATTCATCTGATTGAAGTGCAAATAATATCTTATCTCTTCTATAGAAGCGACGAAGGATTTCGAAAGTACCCGATGCTGATGATACATGGCCTGATGTATACGAAGGATGAGCTGGAGTGAAATTATCACCATTACCATCTGCAGGCGCTCCCAATGGTGTCCAATTGGAATCTGCCGGAGTGCGCGGTGCTCCCTTACGAATAGCAACTATAGGACGCCAGAAAGCGTAGTGATATTTCGTATTGAATGTACTGATACGTGTATCTGCTAATACATAGTTGATCAATGCAAATAAGTGTGCATTTTCTACTAATGTATTTTTCATCTGGATAGCAATCACTCGGACCACTTGATTGAGGAGACGTGGAGCAGGTCCAATTTTTGGCCCACCATCATAGCCCCAAAAGTTAGCGATTTGTGTTTGCTCAGCAGTTCGAGTTGTACTTAACCTTGATCCAATCGATTTCAATAGTTCATAAGCATTGATATATTCGGTTGAATTTAAAAATTCTAGACGCGAAGAAGGCGACTCACCGACAATGTTCGCAGCACGAAATGGTAATACAGAACGTAAGATAAATGGCTTAACACTACCCCATTGAGGATTGTTAAATCCCTGTGTTGGACGAGTCGGGTCTTCTATATGATAACCCAGTTCTTTATTTGGTATGTAAGCTACAGTTACGTTACTACCATCGTTTGCTCTTTCCTTCAGAATTGTGCTTGCTATCATCTGTCCAATGGCAATGCCTATATTAATTGTATTAGTTTTTCGGGTAATTTCTTGAATTCCATTCAAATAGGCTGTACGGATCGCATCGAACATCGTCCTCTGTTTCGGATACAAAGCATACAATGTTTGATACGCGGCTTCCATAATAGCTACTATCATAGTTGGCTCTTTCGGACCATGTTTCGCCTTCGGTAGATTCTCAATTATGAATACTGGTTTATAACGCTGATTAAAGACAACCATTGCCTCATATATGGCGCCATGAAAAATCGCTAGAGCGCGTGATACAAATTGGGCACCGGCTTGATCCAAACGCGAAGTTATCTCAGGATCGTAATCATTAGCAATAGCCTGTATAATAACATCATTCCAATCGAGAACTGGATCCATTTGTGTCGATTGGAACTTTTTGAGAAGCATATCGGTAGTAGATTGTAAGGTATCACCCTGAACAATGGCTTGGTTCATTGTTAGTAAGTGCAGAAGCACGATCATAATTAGTTTTTCGACGAGATCCATCCTATATCACAAGTTATAACACGCAGTGAATACTAATTTTCATTGTCTATACAGGGTGTCTCATAAATAACTTGGCGATAAGGCATTTAAATATTCCTAATGTGTTACAGTCTGAAGAACGCATTTTTTCTCCGATGATTGAGCGGTTCCTGAAACTTTTGTGGTTATTAATGAACCTCACAAATAATGTACAAACGTATCATGTCTGACCAAGATGCAATGATTTCAGTTTTCTTCTTTTTTCTAAAAAAGTTTGTATTAAAATATTTCTAGTATTTGAGATTTTGGTAGGTTTTTCATTATTGACATCATGTACTGCTGTTTCATTGGTTTTTTTCCAGTTAGTTTACTGAGGCTAACATTAGTCAACTTTTCCAGTTAGAATATCTCGGCTAAAATCAGTGAAACGGCAGTGCATGATGTCAATGATTGAAAATCTACCAAAATCTCAAATACTGAAAATATTTTAAAACAAGGTTTTAGAAAAAAGAAGAAAATTGACATCATTTCATCTTGGTAAGATATGATACTTTTGTACATTATTTTGTGAGGTTCATTGATAACCATAAGAACTTCAAGAATCGTTCTATCATCGGAGGAAAAATGCGCTCTTCAGACTGTAACACAGTAGAGATATTTAAATGCCTTATCGTCTAGTTATTTATGAGACACCATGTATATAGAATATCCCAAGAACATAGAAAAATGTCAGCTACTTTTGAGTATGAATTCTTATTTTATTTTTAAGAAGTTATGTTGTCGATGTGTTGATTATATGCTTATTTAGGCATAGCTAGCTATTAAGTCTTCCTACTATTCATTTGTTTTGCTAGTATTCTATCTGTGACAATTGTGGCGAAGACGAAAAAGACACTATCCCAAAACTATAGGATACCCTATCAAAGGGTCGAGATGCACAGGAATAGAAATTAGTTTATTGAGTTTTTTCCTTGGAATATGTATATACAAGTAGGGCTGATCCGATAGATTGGCTTTTCCTTTTATGACAGAACGCTCCCCTCCCAGATTTTGAGAAATAAATTTTATCTAAATGTCCCAACGCTCTTTTCAGTCGTCGATATGCATAATCTCTTGAAAAAATCCTTTTTTCTTTCTGTACAAAACCTTCTGCAAAGTTTGTTTCTCCTATGAAATTCTAATTCATCTCCACATTGCTCGCCGATTAAACATCGCTCTCATCCAAAGTTACAGAAATTATTTTATGTATCTCTCAAAACTTTCTGCAAACAAACATATTTCCATATGAAGCTCAAATATCATCTCTGAGTCAGTCGTCAATGCCCCTTCGAGACGCCACTCTCGACCCATCGCTTCAGTGTTCCCTATTTCTATTTTTTACAAATTATTCATTAAGCACATCATAACTTTCTGGCGTGAAATTCTAACCAAAAAACAGTATCTTGACGTTAAACACAATTTGTCCGTTTCTGTTTAGTGGCGTTCTGCGGTCAAGTCTCATTCCAAAAAGCATAGATGTTAATAATTTATTGGCTATCAAACTGCACTGTTTACCCGATTGGTTAGTAATAATTTGTTGAGCGTGTATTGATTTCTGAGTATCTGAAAATACCTGATCTACATTATGCGAATTATAACTGAGTTAAGCAATCTACTCAGGGCAAACAATCTGACGGGTAAGATCTTATAAGACTTTACGTCTGATCTCACCTGAACTTATAACACCAGACCAAAATCATACAAAAAATCGTACTGCCTGTAAAAATTACATCAAGCCTTAGCATACGATTCTTTCAAGATGATATTAGCTGTACGATCTTGGAAAAATCGTATGCCAAGACTTGATACAAATATTCGATGATTTTCGAGCAGAAGAAACCTCTTTTGACTTCAAATGAATGTGATATTCGAAATTATCATGGAAAACTGAGTTTGCTTATTGCATGTTTAAAATTGTTTCGGTGAGCTTTTTTTCGTTCATATTTGTACCCCCGATCTTTTCAGAGATATATGAAAAAATGAGTTTCATCAAAAACAGGATTTGGACATTAGAAACGTAGTTCTGAACTTGTCAAATATCATTTCCAGATCTAATCCGACGTATCGAGACATTATAAAAGTCATTTTGATGAGATTCATGTTTTTGATATATCACTGAGAGGGATCACGAATGGAAATTTGACCTAAAAAAATCCACGGAAACAATTTTAAACATGCATCAGCAAATTCAGTTTTCCATCATGATTTCGAACATGACATTCATTTGAAGTCGAAAGAGGTTTCTTGTGCTCGAAAATCGTCGAATATTAATCGAAAAAGACGTCAATTGATTATCAAAGGAAATCGGTTAGAGCAAAAATGCTTTACGAGGCATCGAGTGTCAAGCTTAAAATGATGTGGTGAGAACAAGCACATTGAATCACATATTTGATAAATAAAATCTCGATAGTGCACCCGTAAAAACTATAACTGCATAAAACTCGAAAGATTACTATTTATAACAATACCGTCCCACTGGGCCGGTATTTGACATTTATGGAGAGAAAGACACTGAATTATCTAAGACATTCTCATAGATTCTGGCAGAGAACAAACTGCTACATCAAATGAACTTGTTTTTGTCGAATCCAATTCGAATTTTAATGCACTCTCAGATCAGAAACTGATTTTTAAGACTTTCAGAGTGCTTCAGATATTTCTTATTATCTGAATATTTTTACAGGAAAATGTGATAGTTAACATAGGCACACTTATTGCTATCGAGTTATAAAGAATTTCACTAGAATGACATTTGAAAAACCTTCTCAAAACCTGAGGGGGTCCTAGGTGTGAAAAATTAAGCCGTCAGAAAGTACAAAATCAACTAGAGCAAAATAATCACCATTCGATTTGTTTGATCATAGAATTCGCTCCATTGTATTATCTCTAATGAAAAAATCCGTTTTTCCTTTCTTTTATCTTTATTTTTTGAAAGATAAATGATTTACTTATCTTGTTTTTTGTAAAGATAAATGATTTATTTATCTTTAATCTTTATTATCAAGAAGATTATAGATAAAGTGTCACTCCTAAACTGAACGACAACCGTTTCTCCAAAAATTATGGAGAACTTATTTTTTCATGTAGCATGTTGTTTGATTTTCCGCGAGACCAAACTTCTTCAAATAGATAAGAAATCGAGCTGTGAACAGTTTGATTTGCAAGGTGAAAATCGCAAACCAGACTGACAATAGTAAGTCAAGATCCTCTGTGAGGTGATTGGCTTTACAGTAGCTAATCGCTGCTGTTCATTTCGTAAAGGATCTGGAAACGTTTTCACAGCCAGAAAATAACTACCATGGTAATAAAATAGCATTATAGATTGTAAATGACACTTCTTTAGCACATAAATGTCTGCTCTGAACTTATTACTAAAACGACTAAAGAGACAATAATTTCATTTCTGCATACCGTTGCTTGTTGTATTTGTAGAGAATAATGCTGCACCCCGACGAGTATATACCACTTTATTGTGAGCGCTGTTCTGTGCTCGAGCTTAAACATAATCTTGCGCATATATACTTGAAAAATTTGTTCTCCTTAGCCCATTCAACCGAATCGCGAAAAATGATGAGAATAATTTCTCCATATACGTTGTTTTTTTCGATTGGGAATTTCCCATTGTTTTGCATTCTCTTACATTCGTCCTTCATAGAGCCAAAAGGTACCCCTACACAAAATAACTAATAAGCATCGAAGTAAGCTCGAAATAAAGAAGAGGATATCATCACACCATACCTTACGTTTTTGAGTGGGAATTTCCCATTATTTTGCTTGTTCTCTCATTCATCCTTCGTACGGCAAAACTATTGCTATACAGAAACAAACAAATATTTATCACAATGTACATGAGGTATAGTTAAATTATTTGCAAAAGGTACGTTTATTTTCTGTTTGTTAATTTTACTTTTCTTTTGCTTGTCCTCTCCTTTATCTTTCGTGCAGATATACAATACTAATACACAAAAAAAATGCGCTACAATATGCGCTAAAGAATAACGTGGATATTATGAAAACAAATCTTGTTTTTGTTATTGTTGGAAATTTTATCTTCAATTGAATAAATATTTCGATTTTTCATTGCACACATATTTTTTGTATATCTTTATGTAAGAATTTAAAATAAAAATAAAAATAAAAACAAAATAATATTAATTAATTATGTTATTGATCTAATATTTATTTGAATAAAAAATGACGTGAAGTTTCCACAATTGGATTTATCTTCTTCAGATGTTGTATATGAATGTATTAATTTTACCATTTTAATTTCGTTTTCTTCTCTTTTTAATATTAATAATATGATAGTGAGATAGAAAGATGGTGAAACTGGTTGGGAAGATGGACTAATGGTCCTCTTCCTCTATTCCAATATCAACATCTTGCATTCTTATTATAGATTAATCCTTTTCCCACTCATTTCTATCGCTCTTTTTTATTATTTTAGATGCTTCGCCTAATAGAAAGAATCATTGTCCACTAATAATAATTATTATAATGATTTATCAACTGCCATATGGCGGAATAAATTAATTATTTGATTCATTGTTTAGTTCCAACGAATCTAATTGTCAATGACAAATGCGTTCTCTAAATCTAATGTGCATTTATATGTGTTGTCTTATTGATGTTGTACAATCTTCGCATTCGATTTAATGTCGTTTCTTATAATTATTTGTTTATGTTTCAATATACATTTATATATACCAGGTTTTGGTTCTCCTTTATAAATCGCTTCACACTTTCATGTCACTCAAAAAATATTCGATCTGTATGTTTCTTCACCTAGGTTTGTAACACCTGCTTGAAGTTTAATAGGATAGAAAACAAATATTTTAACTTTTGATGGTTCGGATTTTCGTTTTAGTATTTCTATTCCATATACAAATGGCAATTAGAATTTGTTATTTGATTGGTATTGTTTCTTTCACATTCATAAATGAATCTAATTTTAGTTATTTGTTTATTAAGATGATAAATACATGATTCGACGTATTATTGATTCATTATTGCTTTTATCAGGATGTCATCAGCAACTCTCTAGAATTTGACAGGTAAATTAACTTTTTTCTAGGTTTTTTCATGCACTCATCCACGTTAAGTTTAGCTAGGGTGAGTAGTAAAGTATTATCCATTGGTAAATTGAACTGGGAATAATTTTTGACTAAGGATCATAATAATATTTGTATTATATTTGTTTGAGCCCAGCTTGGTGCACAGCAATTTTCGGAATTACATATTATATTTGCAGTAATCTCAAAATCTCTTGTTACAGGTATGTTCGTCAATAATCTTGTATATCTAAACTCTATAAAATGCTCATATTGGTCTATTTTGATTTTAAATATTTCATGGATGGATGTGGCTGTCGTACCTATTGAATTTTGGATCGCTCCTCTTAACTGTGGAATCAATGAGAATGCATATCTGGATGTAGATGACAGAATTGTATTTCTCGTACTTGTAGTTAATCGTATTGGTCAATCTTATTTACATACTCAACGGTGTCCTCTTATTCTTGGAAGATCGTTGACCGATGAAAATTCATTTTTCATGTTTCAAGTAATTCGATTCGATTTAAATAATCCATGGTTAAGTATTATAATTTTAGCCTACATCATGATTCTTGGGTTGCTTGCATCTTCATAAACATAATTGTCATTTAGTTTTTCTTCGATCTCATTTATTTTATTTTTAGGTGTTCATTCATGTTTTGATAAGAAGGTTAAATTGATATTAGACTTGATTTACTTCTCTTCTTTTATTTTATTTTAAATTTAAGTCAATTTATTTGATTTGATATTAATAATTTATTTAAATTTAAAATTTACAAATTGTGACTTTTTGTATCTCGATGAGATACTTCATCAGACTTTACAATTAAAACAAATCACATGAACATATAAACAAATAATTTTTTTTTGTTTTTCTTTAGTATTAGTCATACTTTTGATAGGGATACGGAAAACAAGACGGCAATAGTAATAGCTAGATAAGGATCGAATCCTTTTTTCAGTATCACTATCAAAAGTATGACTGATACTAAAGAAAAAGAAAAAAAAATTATTTGTTTATATGTTCATGTGATTTGTCTTAATTGTAAGGTCTGATGAAGTATCTCATCGAGATACGAAGCGTCACAATTTGTTAATTTGTAAATTTAAATAAATTAATAATATCAAATCAAATAAATTGACTTAAATTTAAAATAAAATAAAATAAAATAAAAAAATTATATCTAATATCAATTTAACCTTCTTATCAAAACATGAATTCAAAAACCTCTACGGAGAGAGAATTTACACCATTGCACACCATTTGGAAAAATTATGCAAGAAAAGAACAAAAGAAAAGCAGAAAATAATATTTCTTGTAATATGTAAACAGAATAATTTGATACCAAATGGATTCGAATTAAAAAAAAACACCACAAATTTGAATAAAAATGAAAAATTATTAAGACAGACAATGTACCAAATTAGAAACAACACATTACAATATAAACAAAAACAGTTAAAGTATCTTAATATTGAAATTAACACTCAAAATTCAATATTAAATCATTATTTACAAACAACACAAACAACAAGACAACATCAAAATGACCTGAAATGGATAAATAAATTTGATGAAAATTTTGAAAATAATTTAATAAATAAACATAATAATAAAATACACATATTAAAAGAAAAACAATTAACAACATCAGCAACAACTAAAATAACAAATACAAAACTAAAATATGATACTTCAAATGTTATCAACATGCCAACAGTTTCATTAAATCAAGAACATTTAAATATATTATCAAAAGGATTGAAATTTGTTCCAACACCAACAGCAATTAATACAATAGCGACTATTATTAATTGCGAAAAAAACATTGTATTCGACATCAGAATTAATTACAAATGCAGCTATATCAGAAATATCAACATTTATTCATAAATGGAGAAAACCTAAGAAATTTAATATGAATAAAGAAGAAATAAAATCGATTGAAGAAATTGTTATTGTTCAAGCTGATAAAGGTGGAAAAATAGTAATTATGAGTCTATGGGCTTTTTTATTTCAAACTGAATTCTAAAATCAAAAAA